AACCAGAAAGAGTGCAACGGGCAGTCAGTTCACTATCTTTCCCAATTCACCGTCAATTCATCTCTATCTATAAAAGGCAGGATGTGTGTGTGTGTGTGTGTGTGTGTGTGTAACGAATGCACGGCCGCAATTTTCGACGGATTTGCACCAAAATTTACATGCACATGCTCCAAGTTAGCGACAAGGCCAAGACCGACTTTGCATTTCCCAACTCCCATCGATAGTGGAAATAATCGATTTTTCATGCTTCTACGGCAGTTTTCATGTAGCTTGCGGTCATTTTCTACTGGCCAGAGTGAGGCCCTATAGCTGGCTGCCAAGAATAGGCAGGAAGATTCTATTGGCCAGCATGAGAGCCAACAGCTGACTGACATGAATGTTAACTAGCATACTAGCATGCAAAAAAAATCGATAGCTGCATTCGTCACAATTGGGAAAAATTTAAATCTGCATGGCACTTTACTCCAATTGGCTCATTCGCTTGCTTAAACTCAACGTTGATTCTGATTCCGCAGAACTGGGTTGGGTGTGAAAAAGTATTTGTTGTTAACATTATTTTTTCATTCGGTTTTTCCAGTTACGAGTCCTTTTTTAAAGCTGATCGTTTTGTGTTCATTTTGTTTAGTTTTTTTTCGTAACAGATTTAATGTTTAGTATAGAGCTTAGAAAAAATTCGCAGTGTGAAATAGGCAAGAAGTAAGACATGTAGGGCACTCCTTTAAAGGCAAGGAAGGGCAAACATATTTTAAGTCAAGTGATAGCGATTGCTGTATGGGTCGTACTATTTTTTTAATCAAGCACGGCAACTGGGCCATGCTGCTAGTATGTAATAAAAAAGGATGTGGTCTCTGATCATGATGTGACATGGATTTAAAATGTCTTCTTCGAAACTGTACGTTTATATTTGTTTCATTCACTTTCCTTTAACACTTACTTCGCTAAGTATTTTTCATTTTCTTTTTTGCCTTTCGTTCTTTTAATGAAATTCTTTCTTTCTTCTTTTCATCGCACTCACATTCTTTTTTTCAATTTTCTTAATAGTTTTCATTCTTTTATCTCTTCTTCTTTTCATTATTCATATATCTCTATCTTGTCCTATCCTTTCATTCATCTTTCTACCTGTCTGTCTGTCTGTCTGTCTGTCTGTCTCTCTCTCTACATATATATATATATATATATATATATATATATATATATATATAGCGTGCGATGGAAAAATTGTTTTCTAAATAACGCAAAATTAAAAATAACACTTACATCTCATTTTAACAGATATATTTACCAAAATTACATAAAAATATCTTGAAATACTAAAGAGTAAATTTATTTAATAAACCTCGTCCTTCAAATGACTTCGGAATCTCCTGCAACTCTTCTGGATGGTCTCCCTGTTTAAGTTGGTGAACACTGCCTTGATCCTTGCCTTCAGTTCATCTTTGGTGTTGCAAACAGTTTTGTTGCTCTCTCGCTCAACTGCGCTCCACACATAATAATCAAGGGGGTTTCAGTCTGGGGAGTTAGGTGAGCAGATGTACGGAGTTGTGTGGTGACAAGTCATGACTGGGTTCTCCCGCTTGTGTGGCATGGAGCTGAGTTCTGTTGCCAGACATAGGATCTTCCAGCAGCCACATTCTTGATCCAGGGCAGCACTATCTCCCCAAGGCACTTGATGTAGGCTTCCGTGTTGAGTATGAAGCCCTCAGTAACCAATTTGGGAGATCTTTTCTTACCAGAACGGGGTTAGTTTTCCGAGCTGCCGTACCTACATAATCGCCATTAGATTCATCCATCTCGTTTTGAATCTTCAGCATTGTCTTCAGATTGACACCCAAACACTCTGAAAGGTTTGTATTGGAGCTTCTGGCGCTAATACCAAACAGTACAGCATGACGTTTCCAAATTTCTGGCGAGGGCGGAGTGAATTGTGTCATAGATAGATAGATAGATAGATAGATAGATAGATAGATAGATAGCTCCTCTTCATATAGACGGTGCTCAACTGACCTTACAATATTGTGTAGTCGACAAAATAAAAAAACAAGCAATACGCATTAGCGAAATTAAAAATATCAAATGGCGATAATTTACCCATCGCACACACACACACACACACATATATATATATATATATATATATATATATATATATATATATATATCGGGAAGCATACTCACTTTTCTCTTTCTTTATCCTACTCTCCATCTTACGATTTCAGGCTTTCATCTCTTTTCATCCTTTTATCTCTTATCGCTTCTTTTAATTTCCTCCTTCCGTTTCTCCCATTATATATATATATATATATATGTATGTATGTATGTATGCATGTATATATATATATGTAACGCAGGCTACGCCTTATCAATGTAACTATCTATCTCAGTATATTCATTTCTATCTATCTATCTTTTGATCTTCCTCACTCACAAATATGCACACACTCTTTCTCACGCTCTCTTGCAGGTATACATCGCCTCCTCCTCTTTCTACCTGTCCCTCTTTCCCTTTCAATTTTTATCTATTTCTACCTCCTTTCTTGCTCACTCTCTCTATCCCTCGCCATACATTTCCTTGTTTATCCTTAATACGTTCTTCGTCAAAACATTTTCACTCTTCTCTTGAAAACCGTCTTTCTTTTCATCTTTCAACTATCTCTCCCTCTCTCTCTCTCCCTCTCTCTCTCTCCCTCTCTCTCTCTCTTTCTATCTCTCTCTCTCTCTTTCTATCTATCTATCTATCTCTCAAAGTTTACTCTTCTTCTTTCTCTCTCTTTTTCACTCACACGTTTTCTCTTTCTCGCTCTCTCTCTACCCCCATCTCTCAATCATGGCAGTTTCCTCTGCTTTTTTTCTTCTCTTTGCCTATGAACCTGTCTTCCTTCGATATTGCCATTTTTCTATCGTCTTTCTTTCCTCTTTTCATCAATTATCTTCTTTTTTTTCTTTCCTTTCAATAATTTCTGTGTCTGTTTGTTTTTTTGCGAAGTTAATGGCGAAGATTTTATCGATCGATCTCCGAGAAGAGTTTAAGAAAAAGGCAACGCGCATCCTGTGTTTCTTGCAGTTGTACCTCACCTCCACCTCCATACCCTCCTCCTCCTTTTCCTCCTCCTCCTCCTCCACTTTTAAATAGAAAGGCAGCTAGTGAATTACCTTTCCATGAATGCAGCTCAGTTCCAGGCGATGTGATATTTTCAATCATGTGAAAGCAAATTCGAACCAGAACGCTGGAAATAACTCCGTGTAAAAATACAATAAAATCGTTGTTGTCGAAAATTAATTCTCTGCCATTTTCTTTTCATTTCTATGCATTTCCTATATTTCTATATTTATATAGTATGAAGTATATATATATATATATATATATATATATATATATATATATATATATATATATATTTTCGAAGTATATATATATATATATATATATATATATATATATATATATATATATATAGTTCTATTCATACTATATAAATATATATATTTCATACTATATATATATAGAAATGTAGGAAATGCATAGAAATGAAAAGAAAATGGAAGAGAATTAATTTTCGTCAACAACGATTTTATTATATTTTTTATACACTATCTATATATCTATCTATCTATCTCTCTCCCTCTCTCTCCACTCTCTCTCTCTCTCTCTCTATATATATATATATATATATATATATATATATTTTTATTGTTGTTTAACTCATCCGTCATTCTGTCGATAGATAGATAGATAGATAGATAGATAGATAGATAGATAGATAGATAGATAGATAGAATGACAGACTATCTATCTATCTATCTATCTCTTTATATGTGTTTGTCTGTGTGCGCACGTGCCTGTGTGTTTGTGTAGTAAAGTTTTATTTATCTATCTATCTATCTATTTATCTAGCAGATTCAAGCCGCTAAATGACTGTTGTGACCACGTAAATGATTAAGCAATAACAAAAACCAGGTTTTCAGATATATCGTATATTAAACAGTAAGTACAACAGAAGAGTGTGACACGACTAGTGAGTGTGTATCGAATGACCTAGCTTAACAGACAGAGAGAGATAGAGAGAGAGAGAGAGAGAGAGAGAAAGAGATAGAGATAGAGATAGAGATAGATCTTTGCTACATTTTTCTACAGATATGCGAAGTTTACCTAATGGAATTAGTAAAGCTAGTTCAAATGGAAGTTGAGTTAGTCTATGGCCATTTTGCACTGATGACTTTGGGAAAAAGGCTTGAATCTGCTTCAGCCTTTAGCTTAGAATAGAAATCTGGTATAACCTATCGTATTTTACTTGATGATCATATGAGATAATCTGATACTTTACATCTCCTCGTGAATATATATCATTAATTAAATATCGTTGCTACTGCTGCTGCTAAAGTTTTGAACCCACGACAGCTATCTTGTCACTCCTGGTCTCACTGCCTTAGCAGAGCGTCGGAACATTCTCCAACATCAGATGAATCTGCTTGAGGACCTGTTCGATGATGTCCTTCCACTGGCTTCGTGGTCTGCCCTTGAGCTCGTCGCCAGTTTGCAGATGGCGGGTCAAACCGGAAGATGACTCTGGTTGGATGATCATCAACTCATCACTGTCTGCTCCAATAAACTGACAGTATATCAGGCAAACGTTATGCACACACACACACAAACGCGCGCATATATATATATATATATATATATATATATATATATATATATATATATATATATATATATATATATATGTATGTATTTACATTCATGGATCTTCGAAAGTACTTGCTTAACTTAAAAATATACACTAGAAACATCTGACAACATTTTTATAAATGAGGATCACATCATTCAAGGGATTAACAGTATTGTAATGCATACATCATGTTCTACTAGCGAAGTAATTTCGCCATTAATCGCATTAATATTGCTGATTGATTCTATATATGATTATTTCTTTATTATAAAAATATATGCTGCCTAATATTATATGTTTATAAAAAACATTTGATCCCGCAGTATGAAATTCCTGAGAAAAAAACTACTAAGACATATCACTAGTTGAACTAAATACTGTGTTCATGTCATGTTAACTGAAAAACACTTGTAAAAAAAAAAGAATTCGTGGATTTACCATATTACAAAATTCACATAAAAATTCTCACTTGAAATTTTGAACTTTAGCGTTGCGACTCGCACGTTCCGAGATTGTACAACCGTCAATAAATAACACACTCTTTAAAAAATATCTTTCGTTCTACAAACAATTATTTCATCTTCAAGTTTTAACTTTAAAGGAAAAAAATTACAGCCTGATGATGGAGACATGGTCTTCGAAAGTACTTGCTTAACCTAAAAAAATATACACTAGAAACATCTGACAACATTTTTATAAATGAGAATCACGTCATTCAATGGATTAACAGTATTTTAATGCATACATTATGTTTCTACTAGCGAAGTGATTTCGCAACTAATCGCATTAATATTGCTGATTGATTCTATGTATGATATTATTTCTTTTATATATATATATATATATATATATATATATATATATATATATGACGATTGCTATGTTCATGAAGGTCAGATTTGTACGAAACAATGAGGAACAATTTTCTTTTAATCGGTTTCACCTGATGCAAGGCATTAAAGCCACTAAGACACAAAGGGTTTACTGGTGTGGAAGAGATGGAAGGAGAAACAGAAGCGGGAAGAGAAAAGAGTAATCAGGAGGACAATAGATAGCTAGGAGAGTGATATGGGTATATTTGATAGCGATTGACATAGCATTTAAATTTTTCCAGATTAAAATTGGCTCGAAAGCTGGAGCCGGAAGTGAGTTCCACAAACGTGAAGTGCGAGAAAAGAAACTGTTAGCATTGAACTTACGGTTATATTTAGTCAGATCAATTCTAAGTTGATGAGATATCGATGCCAGCCTAGTACAGCGCTTAAATTCTTAAAGTCTAGGTACCATAGCAAAGAACTCATACCGAAGATTACCATGAAAGTTTTTACAGAAAAGACACAAAGAGCAACCTTACAGTGGTACTAACAGTTTTTCTCGCTTGCTGAACTCTCTTCTGGCTTCATGCTTTCCAGCCAACTTTAATCTACAAAAATTCAAATGCAATGTCAATCGTTATATACTGTCCTCCTGAGTACTCTTTTCTCTTCACTCTCATTATTAATGTTTAGGTACTTAATTCTACAACACACAGTAACCCCTTGTGTCTCAGTGGATGTACTGATTTGCTTGAGGTGAAATCGGTTATATATATATATAGTTATATTTTCTACGAGTATGTGCGCATGTATATATATATATATATATATATATATATATATAGATAGATAGATAGATAGATAGATAGATAGATAGATAGATAGATAGATAGATATTATAATTATTTGTTTAAAAATATGTTTCCATCGCGACACAGAAGTTTCTATGTTTCAAAACTGAAGCTTCAATCCCAAATTTGATTATAAAAATTAAATTTGAAATCTAATTTCGCTTCATTGTCAAGCAAGCGCAAGAACTCTGCATTATTGTTGTGGATTCCGGGGATGGAATCCTGCACAAATAAATAAACAACGTCAGTAATTGAGATAGAAAAATATGTGTATTAAACGTAAGAATACAAACTTGAAATGAAGATTAGTAGTCCAGGAATGCGGGTTAGTAAAAAAGTATATGTACAAGTCTTTGTAAGTGAAGCCGTAATTATCTCTCTTTGCGGACTCTCGAATAACTCTGAGTGAACACCCTGTCTCGACGTTTTTTGTCACGCTATCTCATCGTAGTAGAAGTATACTTTGGACGAGTCCATCTTGTGTACAAGGGGCGAGCCCCACAATAATTATAAATCTCACTGTTCTTTCTTATTAATATATATATATATATATATATATATATATATATAATGCACGTTGTGAGATAAATCAGTTATAGCTGAAACAAACCTACCAGACTCGTTAAATGCTGTTTGCTTAGCTTAAAAAATACATTCTCTAGGGACAGTGCAATGACACCACTCACTGGTTGCTACGTCACAACTAAATAAGATCTGCATTCACAACGTCCCTAATCGTTGAGGGAGAAAATGTACTTCATCGCATCAGAATTCTGTATCGACAGCGGATTTGGTTAGTTTAGCGAATTTAATGACATTTCTATCCTTAATGGGTTAACGTTCCATCTTCATCAATCAGACCCTTGATTTTTGTATATCGCAATGAACTGGCGTTCTCTCAAGAAGACCCTTTGCGTTGAACGCTTAATGGTACTGAAGCTCAACCCATACCTCAAGTAGAATTCATACATACGATCCGTCGCTAAAGGTTCTGAGAAAAATTGGTCAATTCCTTGTACTGCTTCAGTAATCACCTGATTCCTCATACGTTTATAAGAACCAGATCAGACCGAACATGAAGTACTGCTACCATATATGGACGGGGGCTGCACAGTCTTCTCTTTCCTGTATCGATAGCGTTCAAAAGCGTCCAAGAGGTATTGTGGATGATTAATTATTTTCCACCCTACAAACACTTTTCTCACAGATGAAAGCAAGCCTCTCGCTACTCTGTTGACATTTCCATGGAAAATGTTCAGACCAACTACATTCCTTAGTTCCGCGAGTTCTAACCTTCAGGAGCTAGAACCCACCATGCCATGCCCTTTGTAGCGAACCACTGTCATTCCCTTCATATTCCACTGGTGAGATGGAAGTTCCACTCGAACCAACTACTTTCTGCAACCAACATTCAAGAGGAGATTTCCATGGATTCACCTTTATCTATACCACATATCCTCCTGGACTGCACCTCTTACCTCTTACTCTTACTGTTCACACAAAATATTCTTCAATAATCCTGTATCTGAAGTGGCTCTTAGGCCTTGAATAGAGCGAGCGCTAATAAAAAATAGTGCAGATTATATCTCACGAGAAAAAAATCACAATGAATTGTCAA